TGATAGTGGGGGGTGGAGGAATCATTTAGGAACTAGAGGAAAGTTGTATTTTTCATCATTGCTACATCGCACCCTGTCTGGCTCTTCTCCTCCCCAAGACCCCTCTGCAAGGGTTCTTACATATTTTTAATGTGAGACAAAAATTTCAATTTAGGTGAAAGAAAAGAGAAATTTATCACTTGGGAATAGAAATTACTAGCAATTATACTTATTAAATTACTTCTCTGAATAGAAAAAAAGGCAGTAAGTCTAGAAGTTATTTAGCCTGGAAATGTGGGACCCACAAAGACTAAATTGGGGTTATATATTTTCTTTTAGGAGAGACGTTTAAGAAATGAAATGGAAATATTTTTCAAGCGCTCGATTCTTTTGTAATTCAGAATGTTGTCAGGGTTGAAAAAATACTGTGCAACTTCCATGCAGCCCTCTGGAAAAATGATTTTTTTCCCTTTATCTCATCCGACTTAGCTGGATTTGAAAACCGCTGATGTGTGTATTCATTTAGCCTACAATTTTGGTACCTGAGTTTAACATTAACGAAGCCACAGCTGTTTCTTGGTTTAGTAACTCCTGATGAGCTCCTGTTACTTTAGCTCTTCTGACCAATTTCCTGTCTCTTCCTCTTTGGTATATGAAGAGTTAATGGTGCACACTTTAAAAAACACACTAAAAAAAAACAACACTAAACGGACTTCTCTCAGTAAAAAAACAAATCTTTTGCTATTTTTTCTCCTGCATATGGTGAGGAATATTTAAACATCTGAAGTTTACAGAGCTGCAAGGCATCCGGCAGTAGCTGTGTGGATCATGCTGGCACAACAAAGCAGCCTCCCACATGGCCCAGAAACAACAGGTCCATGTGTGCATGGGAGGAAGAGTGCAAACACAAAAGGGATTGCAGTTAGATGTGGCTCCTGGAATAGCGTGACCGAATCCTTCAGCGTTATGCACTGTGGAGTGTAACGAGAGCCCATGAGACTTTGGAGGGCTTTTGACTCATGCCTCAGTATTTTATGTCCTGTGTGTCACTAGAGACTCTAAGCCGCTTCCCTTTCTGATTATAGGAAGCATGATCCAACCTTTCCTTTTCTAATATTTTCCTGAAAGTTTTTTTTGTGGAATGGGGAGCAAGCAAAGGATGATCGACTCAGAATTCTGGAACAGGAACAGACTTGTGAACAGCATTTCTGCTGGTGCTCCTCCGTGGACTCCAGTGTTTTCGCATCCTCCGTAGGCAGGACACAGTTTGGCTTTGGAGTGTGTTCAGGAACAGCCTTCCACAAGAAAAACATTTCTCATTTCTTTCCCCTTTGATGACTGGAGCTATCCCTGGAAGGGAAACTGCTTTCATAATTTGAAAACCACTGATCTAGTCCATATGCCTCTTCCCCACCCTTCCTTTCTCTCCCTGCTGTGGGAGCTTGTGTGGGATTGTTTGCTAGAGTCAGTTTCCTAATGTTGTGTATTGTTTTTGTCAAGTGTCTACAGCAATATGGTCTCTGTCGTTTCTTAGGAAGACTGTTCTACAATACTTCCTGCCACTAGACGTGAAATGTAAGCTCTTCTACCTAGTTCTACTTACACATATTTCCCTTTATAATATTTTAGTATAATTTTCAAATGCACGTTAATAATTATGCTCTCTTTGGTCATTTTGATCTCAAAATACATGTTTACTCTCATAGGTTGTTCCTGTAGCCTGTAAAACAGTACCTTTTTATGCTGGAGTCTCTTGTGTTTTTTGTTGTTCTTGCCGTTGTTGTTTTAATTTAAGGACATTAGTAATTTTCTGTTGGAGTTGCAGCTTCACAAGCTCTTTTTAAAAACCCAAACACACAAAACAATTTGCCCCAAAGTGTGAGAATAATTACATAATGGGAGCATTTGCTTTTCACGTTATTTTTCTTGCCCTGAATCAATTCACTACGATCTACTGATTGCCAAGATAGCCAGATAAATGAGCACAAAAGGGACCATGGGAGCAGTTGTCTCAAGACATATACCCTAATTAATGTTTCTAGCCATTGCCATTCTAGGCAGGAACTGTTATATCAAGTTGGATAGTTGTTTTTGTAAGTTAAAAAAATTTTTTTTAATACTTTTATCGGGGGCTCTTACGTCTCTTACCACAATCCATACATTCCTCCAATGTGTCAAGTACATTTGCACATATGCCGCCATCATCATTTTCAAAGCATTCTCTTCCCACTTGAGCCCCTGATATCAGTTCCCCGTTTGTTCCCTACCCTCCCCCGCCCACCCTCCCTCACAAACCTTGATAAGTTATAGATTATTTTTTCTATATCTTTACATAGTCTTCCGTCGCCCCTCACCCACTTTTCTGTTATTCTCCCCCTGGGAGAAGGTTCTAGGTCGATCCTTGGGATTGATTCCCCCTTCCTACCCCCACCCTCCCCTAATCCTCCTGGTATCTGTACTCTCCTTGTTGACCCTGAGGGGTTTATCTGTGTAAGTTTAAAATTTTAAGAAAAGTGGAAAAGCTAATAAATCAGATCCTCCTTTTAAAAGTGTTTATTAATCATCTCTAGTTTTTCTCCCCTTTTACTCCCATTTAGTCTTCTCTCTCTCTCTCTCTCTCTCTCTCTCTCTCTCTGTCTGTCTGTCTCTGTCTCTCTGTTTCTCGTCTCTCTCATGTACACACACCCCTTTCCTAACAGCAAAGAAAGAATTCTAAGGAGTAAATGGAGAGAAGCAGTTATGTAATTTTTAAAAAGTGAATGGTCTAGGCTCTACTTGCTTAAGATAGAGAATATGAAAGGAAGTAAAAAAAAAGAAAGCTTGTTTTTTGCCTTTGATATTTGAGAGTTTCTTATTTTTGCCCCATTTAAAAAAAAAAGAGGTGGGTGTCCCCTTTGACAAAAGCTGTTTAAGAGTGATTATCCTCTTCATAAAGAATTTCTGGGAGCAGAAGTAACTGAGCCTCACCCTGCCTTCCAAGTGAATGAGTATACCACTTCCTACGCCGGACAAGTGAAAACTTGAGTTTGATCGTCAGGATTTGGTCTCTCTGGAGTGCAGTAGCCAGATTTCTCGCATGTTGTGACGTGGAGTGACCATCCCAAGAGTCTGTGCTGAGTTCTCCTGGAAAGATGTCCTCTCCCACTTGCCTAACCCATGTGCCATGAACTTTGGGTTGGAATAGCATATTTAACGAAAGACTCAAAAGTGAAAAATTTAAATGTCTTAGTTTCTAAAATAGGTCTTTTCACTGAATGAGAATCACAAATAATTTTTTTTAATCACTAATAACTTAAGGCCATTGCGCTGAGAAACTTAAGAGTGCTAATTTTAACCGAAAAGTTTAAGGGTTCTTTTCTGGTCTATTTTCAGTATGTGTTGAAAATAGAAGACGTATTTGAATCTAAGCGAGGAAAGAAGAAGATAAAGTTACACCCTTACACTGGGAAAGAGTTGCCGCCCTCAAAAGGTAAGATGTGCTCCATTCTAGCTCTCCTTAGCCATCAGTGTAGGAGAGGAAAACCATTGCATACTTGAAGGTTTGATGCGTATTTCAATTTTTAAATGTACATTGGTTCCATTAAAATATAAGCTTCTTTGGGATAGGGCTGTTTCCTATTCTTCCTGTTATGCCTTTTATTTAATTCTGTTCCATGTAGAACCGATTAGATAATAAATGACAAAATAATTATAGACAAGGTGACACATTCTCATAGGTAGATTGCATCACTGAGGAGCCCTGGCAGCACAGTGGGCTAAGGATTAGGTGGTTCAAATGTACCAGGTCCTTTGCAAATGAGGCTGTCTGCTTCTGTAAAGATTTAGTCTTGGAAACCCTCAAAATAAATTTTACCCTGTCCTTTGTATGGGTCCTGGGTGTTAAAATTGACTCAGTGGCAGTGGGGCTTTTTGGGTTGTACACTGGTCAGAAGGAGCCCTGGTAGCATAGTGGACACACCCTGAGGTGCTAACCACAAATTCAGCTGTTCAAACCCACCAGCTGCTGCACAGGAGAAAGATGAGGCTGTCTGCTCCCATAAAGATTTTAGTTTTGGAAACTCAAATGGGCAGTTTTGTGTAATTGGTTGCTGCGAGTTGGAATTGACTTGACAGCAGTGGGTTTTTAAGACACTGGTCAATGGTAGGCAGTTGGAACTTCAACTCACCAACTGCTCCGTGTGCTTCTGTAAAGATTACAGCCTTGAAATCATATGGGGCAGTTGTATTTTGTCCTATAGCAGGAGGGAAGAACCTTTTTTTCTACTGTGGGCCATTGGATAGTTAAAACATCATTCTTGGGCCATTATGGTCAAATGTTTCACGAATTCACCTCAGTCTGATGGCTGGAACTGCTTTTCTTTGGTTAGGCCTGTGATGCTATGCTGATATTGATGATTTCCTAGGCCTGGGGGCTGGACATTCCCCACTCTTTCCATACAGGGTCACTATGAGGCTGAATCAACTCGGCAGCAGATTAGATCAATCATTATTTTATAGTTGTACTTAAACAAATGAAAATAGTTAGTATATAGAGACTGAAGGTATGTAGATTAAATTTACCGTCTAAGTTCAATAGTTTTTATCCTTCAGATGCTTAGATGGAGCTCACATTGTCTGAGTTAAGAAACTCAAGGCGTCTATAGTGCAGTCTTAGCATTTGCTTAAAATGCATGTGAGAGTCTTAACTCGGTTGCCTGAGAAGGAAGATGTAGAATTTGGCAGTTTGAAGAGTTCAGATTAATTCATAAGGAATCCTGAAAGATTGTATAATAAGAAACAACAATCAGTTCTACCTTACAAATCTGGCTGGACCGGAGGATGTACATTGGTACAGATAGCAACTGGAAACACAGGGAATCCAGGACAGATGACTCCTTCAGGACCAGTGGTGAGAGGGGCGATGCCTGGAGGGTGAAGGGAATGTGGGGTAGAAAGGGGGAACCAATTACAAGAATCTAAGTATTGCCTCCTCTCTGGGAGATGGACAGCAGAGAAGAGGGCGGAGGGAAACATCGGACAGGATAACTTATGACAACACTATAATAAATTATGAACTATGAAGGGTTCATGAGGGAGGAGGGGTTGGGGAGGGAGGGGAAAATGAGCAACTGATATTAGGGGCTAGAGTGGGAGGCAAATGTTTTGAGAATGATGAGGGCAACAAATGTGCATATATGCTTGACACAATGGATGTATGTATGGATTGTGATGAGAATTGTACGAGCCCCCAATAAAATAATTTTTTTTAAAAAGGAAACAACAGTCAAGTGTCACACCAGAGGAGAGTATTTCTTATGTCTGCAGACTTCCACAAACATTTAATTTCCCTTAAACCTGTTCTTTGATTTACACTGGTAGTAAATTTAATAACATAAGATAAAATTTTCAGTAAAAAGACTTTCTTTTTACTTTGTGGTGATGAAGACCAACATATCACCCTTTTAAATGTGAGTTTTCATATTTTCAACAGCAATTATTAAGATATGTTTCCATCTTCTCTGTAGAAGAAATGTTTTTGGTTATTGTTCATGAAATAGCTCCTGTTTATTCCATGACCTAACAGTTCCTTTGCGCACTGGGCCCCGTGAATAGCCTGGGCAACACCATGAGCTGAGGACTGTCCTCACTTGACAGATAAAGAGGCTGAGCCAGACGAGGAATTGAATCACGAATCTTGGCACTACACTCTCACTTTCCCTCCTAGCTCTGATTCTCAGCAGTTGCGCTATGTCCTCTTCCACATTTGCTTATGCACCCATTTGTCTTCAGCGATTGTGTCAGGAAGGTGAGCATCATGGAAGGCCAGTTTTATAGAATAAAGTATTCTTGCATTGAGGGAGTACTTGAGTGGAGGCCCAATGTCCATCTGCTACCTTAATACTAAACCTATACATATATGCACATAGATCTATTTCCACATCCTCATATATAAGTATATTTACATATGTACATGCCTTTATTTAGACCTGTATAAATGCCCTTTGCCTCCTAGCCCTTTCCTCTATTTCCTTTTACTTTCCTCTTATAAGACAGGTTTCTTAAGAGCCACATGCTTTTTTTTAAAAAAAGAGCCAAATCTTTTTTTCTCATTGACTTGTATCATTATTAAAAAGAGAAAAAAGTAGCTCAAGTGGCCAATGTCTAGCATCACATTAAAAAAGAAAAAGAAAAAAAAATCTCAATAATAATCCTTACCAAAAAATTGTTATCCATTGTCAGTTGCCAACTCTTCCAGTAAAACCAGAAGAGCTACTCTCATGCCTGAGAACCTTCTGGCTTCATGGTCATAGTTCTCAGCATTACAGTCTCCTCTGTAAACCAACCATACCTAGTAGAACTCGATTATTATACTTACTTACTCTGTCACTACATGCTGGGATTTACTGACTGTACTCCAACCAAAATATTTTTAAATGTTCAGTTATCATGCATTACAAAATTATTCATTACCCTTCTTTAGTTCTGTATTTATCATCTATGTATCAAAGTTATATATAAAAAGGGACACTCCATTCAGAAAAGAATAGTGACCACGGTTGGAAACATAAAGAGTGAAGAGTGTAATCATAGTTACTGAATAAGACATGAAAAGTATTGACTTGGCAAGGGTTTTATTATGTATATTTTTTAACAGTTCAAAATTAAAAATGTATATGACAGTAGAAAAAATGAACACCCAAGTATTTTTTAACATCATTTTATTAGGGGCTCATACAACTCCCATCACATTCTATACATACATCAATTGTGTAAAGTGCTTTCATACATTCATTGCCCTCATCATTCTCAAAACATTTCCTCTCCACTTAAGCCCCCAGCATTAGGTCCTCATTTTTCCCCTCCTTCCCCGCTCCCCCCTCCCTCATGAGCCCTTGATAATTTATAAATTGTTATTTTGTCATGTCTTGCCCTGTCCGACGTCTCCCTTCACCCACTTTTCGGTTGTCCGTCCCCCAGGGAGGAGGTCACATATAGTTCCTGTAATTGGTTCCCTCTTTCCAACCCACTCTCCCTCTACCCTCCCAGTATCGCTACTCACTCCACTGGTCCTGTAGGGATCATCCGCCCTGGATTCCCTGTGTTTCCAGTTCCTATCTGTACCAGTGTACATCCTCTGGTCTAGCCAGATTTGCAATGTAGAATTCGTGTCATGATAGTGGGAGCGGGGAGGAAACATTTAGGAACTAGAGGAAAGTTGTATTTTTCATCGTTGGTACATCGCACCCTGACTGGCTCATCTCCTCCCCGAAACCCCTCTGCAAGGGGATCTCCAGTGGCCTATTCATGGGCTTTGGGTCTCCACTCCGCACTTCCCCCATCATTCACTATGGTAAGATTTTTTGTTCTGATGATGCCTTTTACACCTGATCCCTTCGACACCTCGTGATTGCATAGGCGGGTGTGCTTCTTCCATGTGGGCTTTGTTGCTTCTGAGCTTGATGGCCGCTTGATTACCTTCAAGCCTTTAAGACCCCAGACGCTATACTTTTTGATAGCCGGGCACCATCAGCTTTCTTCGCCACATTTGCTTATGCACTCATTTGTCTTCAGTGATCCGTTCGACACTTCGTGATCACACAGGCTGATATGTTGTTCCATGTGGTCTTTGTTGCTTCTGAGCTAGATGGCCGCTTGTTTACCTTCAAGCTTTTAAGACCCCAGACGCTATATCTTTTGATAGCCCGGCACCATTGGCTTTCTTCACCACATTTGCTTATTCACCCGCTTTGTCTTCAGTGGTTGTGTCGGGAAGGTGAGCATCATAGAATGCCAATTTAATGGAAGAAAGTATTCTTGCATTGAGGGAGTACACCCAAGTATTTTTTAATCCATCCAGAGTCCTAGCAGGTTTCCCTATTAGTGTATAAACCAACTGACATCTGGAATATGCAGTTCATCCGAGTATGTCGTGTTATAAATGCATTCCAAACCCATTACTATCAACTCAGTCGTGACTCATAGCAACCCAATATAGGGTTTCTTGCATCTTTGTGGGAGCAGACAGCCTATCTTTTTTTTGCAGAGCAACAGGTGGATTTGAGCCAGCAACCTTGCAGTTATCAGTCCATCACCTAACTCAAATGACCACTAGCATGCTTTATGAATATGTTAAAGCGTCTTAAGTGATCTCATAAGATCTTTCCTAGTTATATTGCCTTTCCTCTTTCTTTCTAAACACTTCATAAACTCTTTAAGAGGTGGCCAGGCAGAAAAGAGCCAATGCTATGCTCCCTTAAAGATGAGATTCTATGAAACCCTGCTCTATTATTTAGTGTCATTATGAGTTCATCATGTTTGGTAAAGTGGAGGGGCAGCAAAAAAGAGGAAGGCCCTTGACAAGACGGATTGACACAGGAACAATTTTGAGGATGGCACGGGACCGGGCAGTGTTTCGTTCTGTTGTGCCCAGGGTCGCTGTGGGTCGGAGCTGTCTCCATGGCCCCTAACAGCACCAACACCATCTGCTAGCACACAGTCTGTTTGATAGCACTCAGTAACAACAGGGCCTGGCACACAAGTAGGAGTCCGGAGCTCAGTCTTCGTCCAGCTGAACCTCCTCTCATGTTTTTTTGCCATGAGGGTTATCAAAATTATAAAGCCTATATAGTACATTTCAATGGGTCCATTTCTTGTAACACTGCTTATATACCTTTTCTACATATTATGATGCAGCAGGATTTCTTTTAATATTCTTAGTCCTTATTGTAAAATTAAAATGAGCACAATAAATAAGTTCAAGATAAAATGAAAAGCAAAGCCTCCAAAACTTCATCTCACTGCCGCCAGAAAAATTTATAAACACGCAAATGCAGTACTTTTCCCCCCACAGACTTTATATGCCTTCCTTTAAAAAAATGAATGTATTTGGGAATTCTTTCATTATCAACACAGAAAGATCCAATAGACATATTGTATTTCATTGTATAAATGTAAAAGAATTTGATATGACTGGAAAGTATTGTAGTTATTTTTAACATTTGAGTTGTTTATATATATTTTGTCTCTTCAAAAATTCTATATACACATGTTGTTACAACTTACAAGAATATATCTATACAGAAGATTCCTAGACCCATGCATTAAAATATTTGTTAAAAGACCTTTGTAAGACCATTTTATAAAAAGATTATAATAGCTTCTGTTCTACCAACAGTATTTGAAAATATTTCTTTCCCCATAATTTTTACCAAGAGCTCACTGCCATTGATTCAGTTCTGACTCACAGACACCAGAGGGACAGAGGAGAACCGTCCCCGTTGGTTTCCAAGGCAAACTCTTGACGGAGTAAAAAGCCTCCTCTTCCTTCCATCTTTACCAGCACTGTGCTTTATTAAACTTTTTTAATTTCTGCCAAGTTAGTGGATGAACATTTCTATCTTGTCATTTTCATGTATATTTCTCCATTTATGAATTTTTTCAGTTTTTGTGTTTCTCAGTAATTGATATATATATATATATGACAAATGACCTGTCTCTGTACCTATTTATTTTTTGCGTGTGCTCTCATGTCATTAGTGATTGGTAAAAAGTTATTGTTGAAAAATGTTATCCATATTACATTTTTATGTAATCAAATTTGCATGTTTTCATTTCCACCTAGGTTTTATTTTTTCCTGGTAATTTTAAGATTTTTGCCTTCCTTTGCATTTAAAAAAAGTTGCTTTAGCTTCTCAGATTTAATCTAGAAATGAATTCATTCATTTATTCAACATGCACTTTTGCTGAAGGTAGAGGATGGAGTTTCCTGTGTGTCCAGCATTGTGCTAGATCCAGTGGTTCAAAATGAATTTCTTGTGAAAACATATCCCTTATTTTCAAGATACTTAAAGTCTGATTGGGGGAAATAAAAGTTGCTTTAGCTTCAAAGCAGCATGGATACAATTAGGAATTCAGAGTAAAGGTAAGGTCAGTATAGGTCAAAGTTAGCTTAGAAGCATTGTGGAGGATGTAGAATATTACCTGATAAACTTACTGGTTAATCTCTTAGCTTTCACACTATAGGTTAGTTGGTGTTCATATTTTTTTGTAACTAGTTTGGTGTTCATCTACCTTTGCTACTTTATTTGGGAATAAAGAGCAAGGCTAGAAATAGAGTCATGACCCACTGGATTAGACTTGCATTTTTAAAATCATTTTATTGGTGGTTCATACAGCTCTTATCATAATAGACTTGCGTTCTTCAAACTAGCCTGAAATGCCATTAATTCCTATAGTTGTAGGTGAAGAGGGAATGGTGGGAGGAAGCAGGGTGTGGAAGAAAATGGAATAAAGTACTTTATGAGCCTTTTAAAATTCTCTTTTGGAACTCGCCCTAACTTGATATAACTGGAGTGATTTGCAAAAATGGCTAATTAACTCTGATTGCAAATGCTCATGCCTGTGGAGCCTCTGTGTTTTTCTCGACTCATGTACTTTGTATGTCGGACAATACAGATGGAAACTCTTTCTCTCTTTTCAGGTGAAACCAGTGGGAACGAAAGTGATGCCGAGTATCTGCCAAAGAGTGAGTGAGTCAGCGGGGCTGCTCCCTTTCACGTGATTATCATGGGTCTAGGAGGAGTGACACTTTCATGATTAAGCATGTTTTTTTCCCACATGAAGTTTCACTTGTAGATAATTTCTTGGTTTTCAGAACCTGCTAAGAATTGGTGGCAGTAAACAATGTGCTGTCAGATTTTTAACAACATTAACATCCCCCATCCAGAGTAAAGTAAACCGGTATAGTTCTCAGGATGGAATGTTCTTTGGGGAGCGGCATGGAGCTGCATGCCCAGGCAAATGTGCAGTAGTTCACTGGCAGCTCAAACCAAGTGTGTGAATCATCCTCAGACAAATAATGATCATTAAATACCTGATTTTTCATAGTCACTCAAGTGCACTTATTTAAGTAACTGCTATCAGTCTAAAAGCATTGAGAAAGAAAATATGTTTCTTATTCATACGCATTCATAAGCCAAATTATTATGCTGTTTACTTTCTGTTAACATGTGTGAAATAGTTCTGTGATTTGGTTTCTATCTAGTGCTTTGTATCCTGCATCTAATGACTTTTCACAGCAAGTTACTTGGTTCCTACTGAACTGATTGACAGCTGAAGCCTGGGGAAAAAAAGTAGACTTGAGTGATCAAAGCTGAGTATAGGACACTGCCAAATCTGACACACTAATCTTATGACTACCTAGTCTTGTGCTCCCTTCTTTGGCCTGGATTGCTTCAGGTGCTTAAATTTGTAGCCTGAACTAAGGTGAAACTTAAATCATCATCAGACTCATCCTACGTGTATACAGATGACTACTTTAGTGTCCTTGGTACTGGCAAACAGTACCTAAAATTTCCTTATATTGAACTCAGCCCTTTGGGGCTTAGTAAAGCTTTGCCTAGAACAGTAAATGTAGTGGGTAATTCTGGGGAACCATCAGGAACAATTATTCCTAGATTTTTTTAAGCGTTTTTTACATTTGGGTCCATAATGTGACTTCATTTGGGGCAGAAGGCATCATATCTTAAAAAGAAAAGAATTAGAGGATGTGTCATTTAGTTGCTGGCTCAAAATGATATGTAAACAAAACTTTGAGCCATTTGGACAATGTTGGGTTTTCATTTTTTTAAATACACGGTTTCCTTTAGTGAACAGTGCCCCAAATTGTTTAGAATGCAGAGATAACATAAGTCTAAACACTATCCAGATTTAAGTGGAATTGCTACAAAGTGCTTAAATATGCTTATGTACAGGGCCTGTTCATGATATCAAAGTCCCGACAATGACCCCTTTTGCTAGTCCGGTGCTTTTTGCTGGTATTCCCCTTGTGTTTTCCCATAGATCCTAGTGGGATGCCATGAAAGATGGCATAGAATAGAGTATGTACTGGCATACGCTATGCTATCCAGTTAGGATGTAGAGGTCAGTCCCGTAACAACCTGATGATGCCCCAAGGGTCTGCACTCAGCGCCCTCAGCATGTCATAGCCAACGAGGTTATGTCTGTGTGGCAGGAACTGATTAGTCAGCATTCACTCAGTAATGACACCAGGAAGATGAGTCCTGACTGGGTCACAACCTCTGGGGGAGGAAGGAAGAAAATCACTTCCTGATTTCATTCTAGATCGCCACAAGCGCTTAGCACAACTGCAGCAGGCTTCCAAGAGGAATCCTCACTACCAGACCCTGGAGCGGGACCTCATTGAATTACAGGAACAGCAGCTGTTTGAGCTTTTTGTGGTGGTGTCACTACAGAAGACGCCTTCAGAAAAGAGCTATGTTCCCCAGGTCATACAGCAGTTCCCTAGCAAGGTGGGTAGACGGAGGCCAAGAGGAGTGGTTGTTCCTGTGTCTCTGTGAGTGTCTCTTTCCTCTTTCCCTGCTCATTGTGATTTCTCCCAGCGTTTGCCAATACTGTACTTCCTGTAGAACACGATACAGTCTTATGTCAGACTTGTGCTGCAACCAAGTGGGTACCAAACAGGCTCGTTGTCCAGGTTCCTTTTTTTGTTTGACAAGGTGTCCATCTTCTCATTCTTGATAAGGGGAATAATAAATGAGCCAGAATAGGGGGTAGTGTTTTAGGCCATGGAAGGAGCCCTCATGGTGCCATCATTAAACACTTGACTAGTTAACCAAGGTCAGTGGTTCGAACCCACCAGCAGCAACATGGGGCAAAGATGTGGCAGTCTGATGCTGTAAAAACTACAGCTTCGGGCACCCTGTGGGTCAGTTCTCCTCTGTCCTATTGGGTTGTGGTGAATCAGAATTGACTCAATGGCAATGGACTTGGTTCAGCTTTTGTTAGAGCATAGACTATAGGCCAACTCTGTGCGTCTGCCACTCCCTTAGTAGCTCTGTAACTTTGAAGTTACTTCAGCTCTCTGAGCCTCAGTTTCTTAATTTGTCAAATGGGGATAATCATATCTACTCCACGACATAGTTTTGAGGATTAAATAAGTTAACCTGTGTAAGATCATGAGAACACTGCCTGGCACCCAGAAAGCAGTAGAAAAAGTATCAATTATTAGTGACGATTTTAAGACAGAATGTCTATAATGTGCAGCATGGTGCCACATGGTGGCAAAGCACTCGGCTGCAAACTGAAAGGTAGGTGGTTCTAATCCACAGCTGCTCTGTGTGGGGGGAGATGAAGCTGTCTGGCTTTGATAAAGATTTACAGCCTCTGATCCCACCATGAGACACGCTGTCCCTTGATGGCCCCGGGCTCTAAGGGGGACAACACTGGAGACTCAGTGTTGGGACTGGCCCAGACTGACCCTGAGACACCGAGGCAAACCACAAAAAGCGTGC